GTCTCGTCACGAAATCACGAAGATCATTTTTCGATTTCACGAGTCACGAAAAACAAAATTTCATTTTCACGATTTTTAGAAACACAGAAGCGTAACAAAGTCTGAAACCATTTAACACATACTGACTTTAACATTAGAGCCGTGGAAATCATTGCGAGGCATTACGAGCATCGTACGATGGTTCACGAAGTTTACGAAGAGGTACGAAGGTATACGATAACGACGTTTACCGATGAAACGAAGAAACCTCAAGAACTAAGGCAACCGCGGGAAGCAAATTTATAAATTTCTCCCTGTAATATTGCATTTGGGCCGAGTTTTTAAACGTAAACATTCACAAGTTAGGGTAAAATATTTGTAAATTCAAGACCATAGCTATCTAGCTTTTAGCTCTTCACGATTCACGGCACGCATATTAATCTGACACTGACTACGTCACAATCAGATATATACAACTACAAAGCACCAAAAGCTGAAATACCGACCACTATGGCGGCCATGACGAGCACATCCACACTATATTTTGACCCTGGTCTCTATGACCCTGATCTTCATCCAGACGACACTTTACGTGCTTTTGACGAATTTATCCAGAGCTTCGAGCTCCGATATGATGCACAATATCCTGATCCTCCTAAAACATCTTTAGATGCGGCTATTGAACGATGGAAACTCGCAAACGACGATAAAAAGCCGACGCTTGATGACTATGGCAACATTCGCGACGAATGGCGATCAAAAGATCGCGTGACAAAACTCCTCGGTATATTCTCATCGAAACGATTGTTTGCTGAATGGAAAGTCGCAGAACCGGATGATTCCAAAAGAGCTGCACTAAGGTGACGTGGAAATATTTCGTGACAACAATGCAACAGCACTACAAACCAACAGAAAATCTTACACTTAAAAACCACCAGTTCCGGTCTTGGCACATGATGCCCATGAGTCATTTCCGACATTTTGCAATCGCGTATATAAAGCAGCTCATAACTGCAATTTCAAATGCCACAATGACGATTGCACTGCCGAAGATACAGCCATACGTGACCAGATTATTATTGGCACTAAACATGACAAGATCAGAGAGGAAGCCCTCAAGAATTCATGGGACCTCCAACAATTACGCAAGGAAGGAATGCGAATTGAAAGTGCCACCAAAGGACTGGAAGAGCTCAACAATGAAAATCCTGTCAACAAAATGGGTAAATACTCCTTTAAAAACATGAAGAAAAAACCTGAGGCTGGAAAGCCCCGGTCATGTTACTACTGCAGACAAGACATCAAGACATCCGTTATTGCTCACCTCAAATCCTGCAGAGCACGAACCAGCAAATGTAACTTCTGTGATGCAATTGGCCACTATGAAACT